TCTTTAAGAACTCTTGTTGGGCCCATCTCACATGACATAAGTTGATGAATTTATGAATTCTTAACGTGTACTTAACGACGTAAAATTATATTTAAAAAGAATTCATTAAGAATTCTTNGCGCCTATATGCTCATTTCCACGCGAATCCACTTCTCTTCTCGTAGTCGCACGCTCTTCGATACGAGTCTCGCACTCTCCAAAAATTTGCGCCTTGGTTTGACGGCGGGCCGCGGCAGGTCACCCTGATCAGTGGAAAAAAGTTGTCCAGCGTTGGGTGAAGAGGATTCCTGCAGTGAAAATTTCGGTCAGTAACATAAAAGTTACTGTCACTAACATGGCAATCTAGAGAGTGTTAGAGAAGCGAATAGGCAGAGAAGCAGGGTCATTCCACAGGTTCTCACCAGTGCTCCCACATGTGACTGGCAAACATGTAATAAAAAACACAAGCGCCAATCCCCACGCAACCCGGGGTGCTGACTGGCTGTTTTAGATATTGATAAAATAAAATAAAAACACAAGCGCCAATCCCCACACGACCGAGGGAGCTTACTGGTCGCTTTGTTAATTAATTTAATTGTTAAAATAATACAAGCGCCAATCACCACACAACCCAGGGTGCTTACTGGCTGCTTTAGATATTGATAAAATAAAATAAAAACACAAGCGCTAATCCCCACACGACCGAGGGAGCTTACTGGTCGCTTTGTTAATTAATATAATTACTACAATAATACAATCGCCAATCACCACACAACCCAGGGTGCTTACTGGATACTTTATATATTGATAAAATAAAAGAAAAACACAACTCACTTACTTAATTTACTATGAATGAAATAACAACACAAGCGCCAATCCCCGCACAACCAGGGGAGCTCGGTGGCTGCTTTAATAAATGATAAAATAAAATAATAACACAAGCACCAACCGGGGCAGCTTACTGGTCGCTTTGTTAATTATTACGATTAATAAAATAACACAAGCGCCAATCACCACAGAACCCAGGGGAGCTTACTGGTCCCTTACTCAATTCACTATGAATAAAATAATAACACATCGCCAATCCTCACACAACCAGGGGAGCTAACTGGTCACTTACTTAATTTATTATAAATAAAATAACAACACAAGCGCTAATCCCTGCAGAACTAGGGGCACTTACTGTTTGCTTTAATTAATGATAAAATAAAATCATAACACAATCGCCAATCCTCACACAACCAGAGGAGCTTACTCCACGCCTACTTAATATACTATAAATAAAATAATAATGCAAACGCCAATACCCGCACAACCTAGGGTGCTTACTGGCTGCTTTAATTTTTAATAAAATAAAATAATAACAAAAGCACAAATCACTGCCCGACCCGGGGCACTTTCTAGTCGTTTTCATTATTTGAGCAGCGAGTAAGCTCCCCCAGTTGTGTGAGGATTGGCGCGAGTGTTATTATTTTATTTTATCAACAATCCAAGCAGCCAGTAAGCAACCCGGGTTGTGCAGGGATTGGCAATTGCTCTATTATTTTATTCATAATAAATTAAGTAAGCGACTAGTCAGCTGCCTTGGTTGTGTGAGGATTGGCACTTGTATTATTATTTTGTTTTATCAACAATTAAAGCAGCCAGTAAGATCCCCTGGTTTTGTGGGGATTGGCGCTTGTGTTATTGTTTTATTTATTATAGGTTAAGTTAACGACCAGTAAGGTTGTTTCAGAATTGGTGCTTGCGTTGTTTATTAATAAATTTTATTAATTATTCAAACTTATAAGGCTGCTGATTGGCCCGTTGGATTATTGGGTTAAATTGCTTAGGATTAACTCATTAAGTTATTGTTTATGAAGTTTTGTCCAGTTATCTGGAGTTTTGCGTCTTATTCCATGTAGCCATTTTGAATTTTCTGCAAGTTTGCCTGTCAGATTTAGGAGAACCTTGTTGAGAATCTTGGGAATGCCTTCTTCTTCGCCTATTCGCTTTTTCAACACTGAATATATTAGTATGTTAGAGACAATTATTTTCATTGTGGGAAGTTATTTTCATTAGTGACAGTAATTTTTACTGTGGGAATCCGCGTCACCTTACACTGTATCGGATACGAAACACGATTTTTTGGAGTTTCGAGTTCAATATCTTGAAAAGCTAGGAGATAAGTAGGAATTCTTAAATTATTTTTTCTGGATTAGTAGCATTAGCATATACAAGAAACCACACTTAGATCGCAACGCCACAGAAATCTGAATTGTGCCTCTAGTTTAACAAGTAAATTCACTGTCAGCACATACACACTTACTACACTTGTCAAACTTATAGGTTAACTGGGCAGAAAAGGTAGGACAGACTTATCCCCTCTTTAATGTATAGAGTACTGTAGAGTAGTGCTAAAGAGCGGCTTTTAAAATGCTACGCCCGAACAATGTAATTTCGAAACGTTTCAAAACTCTAAAGTTGGGCGCGGTGCACGTCTTTTTCGTTACCAACTGTGTGAAAATTAACTTATTAGTGAACAGACCTGCGAGTTCAGCACATACATTTATGTAAATTCGCGTGCGGAATTGTAGATCTGTTCAGCCGTCTGCACATGTGTTCATTTGCTATTTCACACACAGTTGGTAATGAAAAGACGAGTGCCCGACTTAAGCGTTTTGAAACGTATCAAAGTCATTCCTTTTGAGCGCCCTTGGCCACGGTGTAAGATAAGACAGGTGGTACCAAGTACCCATCGTTGGGTTAGGCGGATTCAATATCGGAACTTTTTCCCTAGATCGTATATATAGCTAAACGATCCAGGGAGAATGTTCCGTCGAGCAGACAGCACAGCAGTGAAGGGGCATTGCCAAAGACGCCTGAAAATTAAAAATTTTAACATTATAACACAAGTGCCTATCACCCAATGACCCGGGGCGCCAACTGGCCTCTCTATTAAATAATAAAGTATTAATTATTAACGCAAGTGCCTATCACCCTTTTGACCCAGGGTGCTTACTGGCCTCTCTATTAAATAATAAAGTATTAATTATTAACACAAGCGCCTATCACCCGATGACCTGGGGCGCTCACTGGTCGCTTTATTAAACGATAAATATTAATGATTAATAACACAAGCGCCAGTCACCCAATGACCCAGGGTGCTTACTTGCCACTGTATAAATTAATAAAAGGTTAATTTATAACCCAAGGGCCTATCACCAATTGACCCGAGGCGCTTACTGGTTGCTTTATTAAACGATATATATTATTAATTTATAGCACTAGCGCCTGTCACCCAATGACCCAGAGCGCTTACTGGCCTCTCTATTAAATAATAAAATATTAATATTAACAGCACAGGCACCTATCTTCTGATGACCGTTGTGCTATTAATTAATAATATATATCGCTTAATAAAGGGACCAGTAAGTGCCCCGGGCCATCGGGTGATAGGCGCTTGTGTTAATAATTAATATTTCATTATTCAACAGAGTAGCCAATAAGCACGCCAGGTCATCGGGTGATAGGCGCTTGTGTTAATAATTAATACTTTATTATTTAATAGAGAGGCCAGTTAGCGCCCCGAGTCATTGGGTGATAGGCACTTGTGTTATTAATATTACAATTTTTAATTTCCGCGTGTCTTTGGCAATGCCCCTTCACTGCTGTGCTGTCTGCTCGACGGAACATTCTCCCTAGATCGTATAGCTATATATACGAGAGCGCGCGGTGGCTCAGTCGGCTAGGTCGTGAATTGGCACGCGGGAGACCGTGGTCCAATTCCCGGCCAGTGCGACTTTTTGAGCAAGTACCTTTGTGATTTTTCACATGTGCTTTTTCACCACGCAATGCTCCTCGAGGAAAGTTTAGGCGACCTTCTCGCAGCACAAATTGTCTAATTTCCCCCTACCCCCCTCTCAGTAATGGGAGGCCTCCCATCCCTTATCCCTTTCTTCTCCCAAGCGCTAAGTGCCCATAGTAGTGCCCTTATTAAAGGAGCCGGACGTAGAGCACTATACTTGATAAAAAAAAAAAATCTATTTATTGTGCCTTTCTTACTCATACGTCATCTGATGAGTGTGATCGGTACTTCTACAAAACTGCAACCCGTTGGAGATGGCACTTCGTACCACCTGTCTTTTCTTACACCGAGCCCTGGGCACTACTTGTGTAGTGCACTTACCGTGTGTTCCAGTAGCGCTCTCCGACAACTTACCGACAACTTAAACATGACGCAAGATATCGTAAGTCATAATTAAGTTGTCGGTTAGTTGTCGGAGAGCGTTACTGGAACACACCCTTATTCGAAAGCTTTATTAAGTCATTATAAAGGCTTGTTTATAGCTACAGCATATTTTATTATTAAATTGCATTGGTTTGAGAACTGTGGGTTGGATCTTAAAACTAATTTTTAATCCTAAGTTGGTCTCGTGAATTGGATTTTGAAAAAGGCCATCAGAAAAAATCTGAGTGCCGTAACTGGGAATCGAACCCACGACCCCTTGAGCTGTGTTGTGTCAATGGCTAGCACGCTAACCAACTGAGCTCATATATATTCTGATGTCGTCTGCTACACCTTACTTACAAATCCTACAAATTTAAATACCGAGCTGGTCGGCCGTGTCCCTAGTTTCAGATGACTGGTTAATTTTTCTGCATAAATAATCATTACTCGGAAAACTCATTTTCACGTTTGTTAAAATAAGTCATTGTAAAATTTTGTGACACTGACTTTAACCTCTTACTGTGCCACTTTGTCCCCAATCTCAATCAACTCGTCTTGTAATGTACAATATTTGTAAGAAGGCTTCCTAATTGACAGTTATCTAGCCTTGGAATCTTTTTTTTTGGACGCGACCTCCCGGGCTCCCGTTCCCGTACTACTAGGGTACTTTTTTTTGATCGGTCGGTTAGTCGGTCCGATTCCTTGAGATGTATATCAATATACATATCATGAATATAGGTATACTTTCTTTAGGAATGGGACCGAACGACCGATCGCAAAAAAAACGTACCTTATAAATATATGTCACTATGTAAGCATTCGTATCTTTCACGTCAACACATAGTGAATGTTACATTAAATTAAATCTTGCATGCTTTTTGCCAGTTTCCTTTAAGATTAGGAAACACAGTGTCCCAGCGTAAGATTCAACTATCTTTTTTTTTTTACACAGTAGTGTTAATCAGTACTCTCAGCCGATACATGTATTATATCTGAACTAATATTTTTATTTGTGTTGTGAAGAGTGATTGAACTTAAGAGAAAAAGGTGCCCCCAGTTAATTAGTATTGTCTTTCCTGTGGATACGTACGTATGTAAGTGTTATATTCGTAGAGGCGAAATTGTAAAAGCTTCGAGTCACGCGAGTGTATTACAGCTAGCTAAAGGAGACGGCTAGAATGGCGGACGACAGCCACGAGAACGGCACAAGCAACGGCGATGTACCCGAGATAGAGCTGATTATTAAGGTAAGAAAAGTTTCCCTTATTGATCTTTCTTTCTCCTACATATCCTTAAAGACTTAGCCTATGTATGTGTTTTGGTGTATAATATTGGTGTATAATTCAAAATGTAGCTAGATCTTTCATATAACTGTAAAAATAAGAACGTATGGGTTTGTACACGTAAATCGCATTTTGCATGTAAAGAGGTATATGTACGCGTCATCACTTCTATTAGTACAACTAGGTATGCGTCATGCATACTTAGATATTCGACATTACTGCTAATATACAATTAACTCAAGTGTACGGTTTAATTTAAACGCTGATCACAGGGGCGTTGTAAGGTGTTCCTTGCCTCTTATCAACTAACTAGACTGATTGAAAATCTGTTTAACCTAAAAGTTAATATCCAAACAGATATTTTGGATATTATATGCAATCATCCTTGTAGATTACGGAAAAAATAGTAATAACGCAGATTCTTTGTCTAACTCCATAAAATAACGTTTAAAAGTTTATTTCGCGAATGTCTCGTAAACTCTAATAGATAAATTGAAATTATTAATATCAGCATGTAGAGCAAAAAATTGTATACCGTGTTGATATTTCAGCTTCATTTGGTTGCACTCAAAATTAAAAGATAAAAACTGAGGTAGCTTCATAGCAAAAATCTACGTAATGACATATGTTTCAATTGATTGATTTGCATCTGCTAAATTCATTATTATCCTTGATTATATTCCAAGCCTGACAAATATTCGAGAAATTTTCATGCAAAGTTTCTGTTTTTAACCCTTAGAATAACATTAGAAAATGTGTTAGGGGTACTATTGCAGTAGTTTTAAAATGGTTTGCTTTGAACATTTATCGAAGAAATTCAGTTCGTCAAATTGTTGTAATTTTTTTTTTTTGTATTTATATAAGACTCAAAAACTATTTAATTCCACGATTATAAATGTGTAAACTCATGAATATTGATTTAAAAAGAGGTTTGCAAAGTTTAGTTATCAATGCTGGTATTATTGCAGTCCTGTACCTAATATTGTGCATGTATTATTGTGGTCTAATTCAATGCTAAATCAACGAGGTATCCACAATAATACCATCATAGTGAGAAATGTTATATGTGCTCTAGTTATTGCAAATGTGATACTTTTTTATGCAAATGTAAAGTTTTGAACGCTGTTTTGGAACTGAAGTCCGATTGTTACATGTCACGTACGTGTACATGTAAATAATAGCTTTCTTATCTTTACAAAAAGTAAAAAATTGTTTAAAATATTTGTACTGAGTTTTTATTCATTACTGGATTAACATATTTACACTAATCATAGAATCATAGTCTGATTCTTGTTCTAGCACTGCCGATGAATATTCTGTACTATCTTTAGTTCGAATACTTGAATTGTATGGCAACATTTTATAAAAATAAATTTTGATACAGCAATTGTAGCTTCTGAAATATTAAAAAATTGTAACGTTTTAAATATCTAAGATATATTATAACTATTTAAGTACGGAATGATCTGTCTGAAATGATTTATATTCAACAATAAGAATTAAAAGTTGGTGCCCTTAGAAGCTGCAGCAAGCGCATGCACAAAAGCGCACAAAGATATGAACTAGACTCCAAGTTTTATTGATGCTCGAATAATAAAATTTTTAAAACCATAATGTTCTTTGAAAAGTAATTAAATTCAACGTAAAAAATGATTCCTATTATAATTTGACTTTATCATGCAATTTTCATGAAAAGCGGCATTATTTACAAACGTAAATAGAACATAAACTCATTGCCCTTACAATTTATCAGATCTTTCAAAAATTTGAAATTTGATGATACGTGATTAGTTTGAAAACGTCCGATTTATTTATTTTGTAAAATCACAAACACAAAATTTAAAAATTTAAAAACATAAATAATTCAAAAAGCAATGAGTGTACATGATGGGACTTTAGAATTTTTATTTCATATTTGGTTCATTGACCCAAAAAACCCCCGAGTAACAAGTCTCAACTGTCTACGTTACGAATTTCCATAAAACTCCAAGAGATGACGTTGATCCTGTCCACCCTGGGCACCATATACCTCAGAGATTATCGCCGTTGTCATAATCGTGTTCAGCGACACAAAAAACCCCCGAGAGACCATTTTGGGAGGCCGAATATCAATTTTACTAATTTTTTTACCACGTCACTTATTTAGGGTGCCTACAGGGGGTTGAAACTACGCTAGTTTTTACCATTTATGATTGTCAGAATAGGTTTAGGATGATAAAGGTTTCTGAAGGTTCTGGGAACACAATACAAAAGGTCCCATTCAAATCGGTTGTGTTTTCCCATTTTTCTACATATTAGTTTTTTCCGGCTTATTTACTGGATTATTGCTTTATTATAAGAACTTAATCAATTTGTTGTTGATAAAAATTATCACAGATCTTTTGCTTTACTTGAGAATACATCAAAAATAACTGTTTGCCGAAACTTTGATTTATCTACAAGATGCAATAAATAATGATAGTAACATTGAACCCTCCAGTATCGGACAGCCTGTAACTTTACCATCCTTATTCACTGGCTCACCGCGATTTATGCATGAAAAAACTCATGATGCAATGGCTTACGTACGTGCGTTTGGGCATTCATGTTTATCTATCACCTTGACATGTAATCCTGAATGGTCGAAAAATAAAAAATGAATCACACAAATCATAAACCTTCAGACAGGAATGACATTGTTTCAAGGGTTTTTCACTTGAAATTAAGAAAACTTAAAGATGTCCTCATTAAGGAGGTTCGGTAGTGATAATTTTTTATGATGAAAATTTTTGAAATTTCGAAATGTCGTTTGGGATAATAGTATCAAATTACAGCTAAATTTTTGAAGGGTTTAACCACACCGTTTTCAAGATATATTGACCTGAAAAAACAATATTTTAACATGTAGGCTTATGGAGAAATCACTTAAATTTCACATAAAAAAAAAACGGCTAAATGAACTTGCTTTTTTTTTTTTTAAATGAAAGAATATTGTCAAAATAATATTTTGTCAAAGTTTTAGAGAGCCCTACCACAAATTTCTATTAAAAAACAGCAAAAATGTGCTCGCAGCAGACGACTTGGCAACGCTGCTTTTGGAGCGCGCTTTGAAATGTAATGAATAGTAAAAACTCTTTTTGTAATTGAAAATTTAATTATAAAAAATTCAACCGAAGAAATAAGTACACTGTCATCAGTAGACGACGACAACAGCAGTAGACGACAACAACAGTAGATGGCGTGCCAGCAGCCGAAAAAATTCACAACGTTGCCAGACGCTCTCCCTCCCCTTGCCTCTCTGAGATTTCCCCCCGCTAACACTACCGAACCTCCTTAAGAAAGCAATATACGGCGAAGTTGATGCTTGGATCTATAGTGTCGAATGGAAAAAACGAAACCTACCTCACATGCACATACTTTTATGGCATAAAACAAAAATTTAGCCAGATAAAATAGACAATATCATTTTACCTGAATTACCAGATTCTCAACAAGATCCCATGCTATTTAAAATCGTTTTAAAATGTATAATTCGTAGACCTTGCGGCGAATTCAACATGGCTTCACCATGTATGAATAATGGAAAATGTACAGAAAAGTATCCTTAAAATGTTGTTAGAGAAACTCAAACTGCAAATGACGGCTACCCAACCTATCGCAGAAGAGCTCCTGCAGATTGAGGTCATAGTTCTGTACTTACAATTCGTGTCAAAGATGTACAAATTGATAACCGTTGGGTTATACCGTACTCACCCGTCTTGTCTCAATGTTTCAATGCACACATAAATGCCGAATTTTGTCATTCAGTGCAAGCAATTAAATATATTTGCAAATATTTCAACAAAGGATCAGATCGTTCTACTTTTTCAGTTGGAAATATTGACGAAATTGTAAATTATGCCAATGGACGCTATATTTGTTCCTCTAAGGGATTTTAGAGTTTTTTTGATTTTGAGATTCACGCACGGTCTTCTACAGTCTTACATTTAGATGTCCATCTTGAAAATGATCAAATTTTGAACTTTGCGTAATAGATGATTTTGCTAGAACTCTTTTGTATTCTGAAGTGGCCGCCTATTCCCGATGGGACAGTAATAAATTTGTGAAAAGAGAACAAGGAAAGGATGTTCCAGGCTGGCCAGAAATGAAAAAAGAATCAGCCATAGGTATACCTATATTCTATGGGGTTTATACGATTTGTCCCACCCAATCAAAGTGCTTCCATCTTCAAATGTTACTCCAATATGTTCGAGGGCTAATTTCATTTGAGTACTTAAAAACCGTTGATTATATGTATATATATGCAACTTTGAAAGCTGCCTGCTACGCACTTGGTTTATCGGAAAATGATGATCAATGGAAATGAACACTTGCTGCTTTGTCTGAAAATCTATTTATATTACGTGACTTATTTGCAGTTATTTTAGTTTTTTGTGAGTCATTGCAACCTCAAATTTTGTAGGATATGTTCGAACAACAATTATGCGAAGATATTCTTCACTCTCGACGAATTCAACTCAACGATTTTGAAATCGAATTCTCCGAAGAAAAATTTAACAGAGGTTTAATTAAAATTGAAGAAAAGATCATCTCTCTTTCAGAAAAAAATTTGGCTGCATTTGGACTAAATTTATCTGTTCGAGATGAACTCCGTACTAATGATCCTTTTGAGCATTCCATCAGAAGTGGTTACGATAACCCGGTCAAAAGTTGTCAGATGAAAATATAGCAAAAAAAAAAAAAACAGCTAAAAATATAGCCAAAAATTTAGCTGTATCATGTTTTTTTAGCTGTAATCGTATGTATTTTTAGCTATTTTTTTAGCTATATTTTTAACTTGAATTTTTATTTTGGTTTTTTACAGCTGTATTTTCAGCTGTAATTTTGCCACATTATCAGCTAAAAATATAGCTGAAACTGCATGCGTTTGCATGGGCCATGGGAATAGCTATATTTTTAGCTACATTTGACAGCTGATTTACTAG